AGGGAATCACATGCACATGCATCCCATTGTTTATAGCAGCATTCTAAACAATAACCAAATTAAGGAAAGAACCCAAATGTCCATTGACTGATGAATAGATAAGGAAGAGGTGGTATATATACACAATGGAATATTATTCTGCCATAAAAAAGAATGAAACCTTGCCATTTGCAATGGTGGGGATGGAACTAGAGAGTATTATGCTAAGCAAAATAATTCAGTCAGAGAAAGACAAATACCATGTGACTTCACACATTTATGGAATTTAAGAAATAAAACAGGGAAACATACAGGTAAAAAGAGAGAGAGAGAGTCAAACTAGGAAACAGACTTTTATCTATAGAGGAGAAACTGAAAGTTACTGGAGATCAAGTGGGTGGGGTTGTGTTAAATGTCTGACAGGTTAAGGAGGGCACTTGTAGTAATGAGGACTGGGTATTATATGTAAGTGATGAATCACTAAATTGTACACCTGAAATGAATATTACGCTGTATGTTACTGTGTGGAATTTAAAGAAAAACTTGTAAAAAATCCAGACATGCATTAAGTAATAGGAACTAGAGTAAATATGCGTCTAGCATGAGGGTTATGTTAGTTTGGCTGGGAGTCAGATTTATTTAATGTTGGCTGTAGCCAGAGGTGCCAATAAATTCAAATTCCTATCACTTAATTTTTGTGTCCTCTCTTGACTTTGGGCTTTGCACTACTCAGAGAAAGTCTAAATTTTACAGTTTCAGCTCTGTGTTTATACTGGATATACTCTGTTGTGTGGTGGTAAGATGTGGAGGAGGAAAAACATTCTATAATATTATGATTAAATCTCAATCTTTTAATAGAAAAAAATAAAAATAAAAAGATTAAACACAGAATTGGTATATTTTTTTGAGGTTAGGTTACAAAAGACCATTGAGCCTTCTGCATTGTTTCCGGTATCATTTGCTATGGCGGTGGCAGAGTTAACTAACATGTTGTGAGAAGCCATACATGTGACAGTAACTGAGGCCTCCTACTAACAGATAGGTTAAGTGAGCATTGTGCAACAGTGCTAGTGAAGCCTTTGGATGACTGTCGCCCTGATTGGTATCTTGACTGCAACCACATGATTCTGTAACCTAGCTTCATCATTCCCAGTTCCCTAACACTTAGAAACTGTGAGGATAATGTTTTTTGTTGTTTTAGGCTGCTGAATTTTGAGGTATTATTATGCAGCAATATATAATACGTATTTTAGTCTTTGAGAAACAGGATAATTATGTTTTACAAAATATTGAAAAGAACCAGTGTGTGGATGTGATATTGTGATAAAATAAGAAACATATATTTTGGCCTTTGTCCCAGGCTCCTGGCTAGAGTATGTAAAATCTTTGTGATTTCTTAGGTAATAAAGTCACTAGGAACTTTTGTCTTTGGTCATTAACTCCTATTCCTGACACCAGCTCCTAAATCCCTTGGAATTTCCTGGTAGGAGCAGCTTTTGTTCTAATGAGATAACTCTTTCTTGGAGAGCTCACTACACACACACCTTTTTTTTTCCTGGAAGGGAAGAGGCTCGAGATTAATAATTGATCACCTAAATGATGAAGCCTCCACAAAAATCCCTGAAGTATGAGGTTCAGAGCTTCTAGGTTGGTGAATACACTCACATGCTGAAAGAGGTTCACCCCAAGCTCCTCTGCTTGGGACCATTCTGGACCTCACCTGATACATCTCTTTATCTAGCTGTCATCTGTATCCTTTATTATAGAAAAAAACCAGTAAACGTTTCCCTAAATTCTTGTGAGCTGTTCTAGCAAATGATCAATCTTGAGGGGCTTGTGGAAACGGATTTACAGCCAGTTGATTAGAAGTATATGTGACAACCTAGGACTTGCAGTTGGTTTCTGGAGTGGGGGCAGTCTTGTGAGACTGAGCCCTTAACTTGTGGGATCTGATGATAACCCTAGGAAGTGTCAGAACTGAACTGAATTGTAGGACACCCAACTGGTATCTACAGAAAATTAGAGAATTGCTTGGTGAAGGAAAACCCACACATCTGGTGTCATAAGTATCGTATGAGTAAAGGAAGAAATGTTTTCCTTTCAGTGGACATAGGTAATGCACTGTTAAATAAACTTATATCCACAGATTAGAATACTAAAACCTGAGGAGGCTCTGTGAAATAGTGATAGAGAAAATTTTCAAGATTAAGAGGTAAAGTTGCATGTGTATTGCATGCTATGCATAGATTATCACTAAAATAACACAAAAAGGGGGAAATGTTGACTGCCTTGGGAACCGAGGTGGGAGTTCTTATGTACCATCTCATACATCATATACTTTCCATAATGTACTATACTACTGATCTATGTCACACAGGCAAATAAATTTAGAAAATAAAACAAAGTAGAAACATTAAAACACTGCTTGTGATTGCATAACCTCTTCAACTCCTTAAAGTACAGGACTAAACACAATCCTAGAAACACATACAGAAAAGGGCTAATCTTAGCATTTGTAGTCGTGTCTTAAACCAAAAAAGTTTCTAGTATTAAATAGCTACTACTATATGGAATTGGACTCCATTGCACTAAAAAGGTGATCTAGGAAAGAAATGTGTAACGTTTTTACATTAAAAAACTTATCTGAGGGGCACCTGGGTGGCTCAGTCGGTTAAGAGTCCGACTTTGGCTCAGGTCATGATCTCGCAGTTTGTGAGTTCAAGCCTCACATTGGGCTCTGTGCTGACAGCTTAGAGTCTGCAGTCTGCTTCAGATTCTGTGTCTGCCTCTCTCTTTCCCCACTCACACGCTCGCTCTCACAAATAAATAAACATAAAAAAAAACTGATTTGAAAAATCAAGATTCAATAATGCATTACTCTAATCAAGTGAAAATTTTAATTTCATGTAGATACATTTACAATCACTGGCAAAAAAAGTAAAAGCAGTTAAATGAATTTTCTTTAATATACATTCAGATTGGTTCAATTTCTAGTTGGTGCAGCTAAGATGGTATCATAGGTCTAAAAGATGGAACCCCCCCCCCCAAAAAAATAAATAAAAGATGGAATAACCCTTCACAATAAATTGACTTCTAAAGTGTCTATTAGTTGCTAGGTCTCTGTCCTGGAAAGATTGGAAAAGCAAACTCTTCAGTAACTAAAAATCCTTTTTAAGAACCACAATTACTGTTTTACCTGGACCACTGGTTCTCAATCCTGTTATTGAAAACTGGTATGCTTCCGGTTGTGCAGTTCCTAGCATATTGTGGATGTTGAATGCATGAATTAGCTCTTCAATCTCTTAATGAGATATCTTGTTCTAAATTAATAAATTAAAAAGTTTTCTTATTGGAGAACAATTCATACCAAAATGACATACTCTTAGGTATAATATACTTCTACTCACTTTTAAGTGGGACATAATATTTCATCAAATGGTTACAAGCCATAACTGACTTAACCATATTCTTAACCATAGTCTATTGTTGGATATTTAGCCTGTTTCAATGTATTCTAAAATAAAATTAAAAAGTCAAGAGCTAAGGGGTGCCTGGGTGACTCAGTTGGTTAAGCATCTGACTTGGGCTCAGGTCATGATCTCACGGCTTGTGAGTTAGAGCCCCGCGTCCAGCTCTGTGCTGACAGCTCAGAGCCTGGAGCCCAGCTATCTCCCCCTCTCTCTACCTCTCCCCTGCTCATGCTCTGTCTCTCCTTCAAAATAAATAAACATTTAAAAAACCAAAAGTTAAGAGCTAAATAAACATGTAAAAAAGAGGGGGGGCACCTGGATGGCTCAGTCAGATAAGCGTCTGACTTCAGCTCAGGTCATGACCCTACGGTTCATGAGTTCAAGCACCACGTCGAGCTCTGTGTGACAGCTCAGAGCCTGGAGCCTGCTTCAAATTCTGTGTCTCCCTTTCTCCCTGGCCCTCTCCTGCTCCCGCTTGGTCTCTCTCTCTCTCACAAAATAAATAAACATTAAAAAAAAGTCAAGAGTGCAAAAATAAACATATTTTTAAAATGTTGCTCTAAAGCATGATCAGAGCACAACAAAAAATTAATATCTACCATTAAACCAACGACAAAATTCCAGCACATCAACAACAGTTCACTGATTTATTAGATGAACAAACATATATCCATATAATCAATGAAAACTGTCCAATATATAAAATAATTTAAGAAATGTTGGGAATTAGCAGCACCATCCGTTATTGAAATAGCAAGAAAAACTTCACATATTTTATGCAAACACGAGAAGAGGGTAACTACTTTAAGACCCAATAATGCCACTGAATGTCTGGGATGATTGAGATGGGCACCTTTTTAGGCAAACACACCTCCTTCTACTCCAAAGATTTGAGGAGTATATCTGATGATTGATGTTTTACAAAAATGCTAATGAAATAAGAGATACTGCATAGTATTTTTTATTAGGACAAGAAGACTAATGCCGAGCTACTTTAAGCATGGCTCAACACTTCTGCTATGAAAAATTTAGTTCTGAATCATGAAATTAGAAATAAAAAATAATTTTTAAAAGACACTAGCTGTCTCTAAGAAACATTAAGTGGAACACAGGTCACTATGAAAATACATCACTTTTCCAGTTTGCTTAATAATTTACTTTAAAAAGTTGTGTAGTTTTCATCACAAGTGACTTATACAAATTTCTTAATAAGCATTTTTAAAAGTTTAAATGTATTTCTAAAATCTAATAGATTCTTTTGATTTTTTTTAAATGTTAGCCCTGTTGTTACATTTACTGTGTCAGAATAAGAGACTGAGTTTGTGTGGAGTATACAAATTTACACACATTTTACAGCAACTTATACCCTAACATCTACAAAATTCACATTTATAATACAATACAAGGCCAGGATAAAACTGCCAAATTCCAAAAAGTGAAACTGTATACTGTTTTTATTTTGTCCCCCTAAAAAAAGTTCAAGTTCTGCACCAACTTCAAAAAGCCCTCTTATATCCTAAGTTTGGGAAAAAAACATTTTCCAGACACATTTCAGCAGACACAAACAGTTTTTCTGTGCTGATGAAGTAAAGGATTTCCAATTTTCTTCTGGCCCCTAAGTCTGCGTCGCATGGTAAGTTTAACAGCATTCTTTCGCTGTGAGGTGGTGGGGAGGCTTGCAGGCTGAGCACCACTACTTCTACTTAAACAATTTCGTCTATGCTTCTTCATAAGAGGACCAGAGTTGGATTCCTCTAATGTCCTTTTAAAGTTTGCTGGAGGGGTTCTTTCAACTTCTTGGGCTTTCATTTGACCTGGAGTTGACATCTTTAAATTTTTTTGGTCCATGATGGCATTTGTCGAATTGGTAGGCGCAAGGCCAACTGACAGGCTATTATTCAAAGAATCATGTATCCTTAAAGTCAGGGCTTTAGTGCAGTTTTCTTCAAGTGGCTCTGGATCTTTTGCGGGTATGACTGCCGCCTGGACATTGCCTCGAACTATCTCAGTTGGGACTTCTAAATAATTCTCTGAGAAGGCATTACTACGAACAAGGGCAGGTATATGGTCCTTAGAGTTCAGCCGTGGCCATGGGTCCTCCTCCAGTGACTGAAAAACAAGAAAGTAAGCCAAATAAATAATTTATTCTAGAATTCAACTCAACCATTGGGGAGATGAAGAAGTTTCATTAGAGTAAGTGACAAATTTGGTTGGTTTATTTCCTACTTTCCCATTTTTTTCTATATTCTCATTTCTGAATATTTAGTAGTATAGATAATGTAAAGTGTAACATTAAAGCAACAATGTCATAATGCAAACTCATATTGTTGCTTTGTACCTATTTCCCAAACACTAGAGGCTGTTCTGTGGCTTGAGAAAAGCAGGACATATGGGAACCTACAGAGCATGGATGGGGCAACTCTCAAAGAAACAAATGAAAATCATACGGAAACTTTCAGATAGTTTTTTAAAAGTTTGACAAGTGATTCAGATATGCATTACTCCTTCAGATATAGTGCTCTACATACACTCAGAATATTTTTCCCATTGGTAGATGATATTTTTCCTATCAAACCCAAATCTTCCACACCACTAATATTTTATAAAATCCTTGGGGCACCTGGGTGGCTCAGTCGGTAGAGTGTCCAACTTCAGCTCAGGTCACGATCTCACAGTTCGTGGGTTCAAGCTCTGCATCAGGCTCTGTGTTGACAGCTCAGAGCCTGATGCCTGCTTCAGATTCCGTGTCTCCCTCTCTCTGCCCCTCCTCTACTCGTGCTCTCTCTCTCTCTCTCTCTCTCTCTCAAAAATAAACATTAAAAAAAATTTTTAAATCCTTGTCAAAATAGTTTCTCAAAAATGGAGTTTAAGCATAAATATTATGGCTCCTTCAGGTATGTAACATTTCCCTCAAATCATTACCTCTTTTAAATCAAATCAAGTTTATTAAAATATTAACATATTCTGAAGTAAACCCTTTTATAGAAGGGTAAATGAAAACATATTATTTTCCTGATATAAAATCCCTTAGAAATAAACACCTTTCAGAAAGTGCTATATAAAAGTATACTTCTAAAAAGAATGCTTTATGTTTCTAGAATTAAAAAAAAGGGAAATTTAAGCCATCTGAAAGCATTTCAATCAAACCAAATCAAAATATAATGACTTTAGGTCAAATGGAGACTGGAGATGAGAAACCCTAGTTCCTAATTTGGTACTGCCTCAATTAGATTGCTGCTGTTTTTATCGTTGTTGTTTTAACTAAGAAAATACTCTTTCCTTCTGCAGTCATTGGTTCATTTATTTTATATTGCATAGTTTATTGAAAGGCCAGTTCTTATCTGTTTTAACACTGACTAGATGTTGGGCAGCAATCTTATTTCCAAGTGCCACTGTCAAGAAAGGACAACGGAACAGTCTTCATTCCAGGATATTTACATATGACTTTCAATAATATCAACAAGAGTTGTAGGTGAGTTTATCCTTCTGCATTAGTTGATTCCAATGCCTACTGTGGTCACAAGTATGTTCTGGAAAATCACAGAAAACTGTATCTACTCATAAGAAATTATTTTTTTTTTTATAAAAATTTTTTTTTCAATGTTTATTTATTTTTGGGACAGAGAGAGACAGAGCATGAACGGGGGAGGGGCAGAGAGAGAGGGAGACACAGAATCGGAAACAGGCTCCAGGCTCTGAGCCATCAGCCCAGAGCCCGACGCGGGGCTCGAACTCACGGACTGCGAGATCGTGACCTGGCTGAAGTCGGACGCTTAACCAACTGCGCCACCCAGGCGCCCCTCATAAGAAATTATTGACCTCGAGTTTGTCCTGCTTTAATACAGAAAAAGGATTTACAACAAGACAAGGCAGACAGAAGGATTCCTACTAACCAAACAATCACATCACTAATTCAGGCCTAAGAAAGAAGGTAATAGTCAAGCCATTGATAGGAATAGAATATACTGCTCCAGTTTGTAAAACAACGTTACACATTTTAACACAATTTATTGTAATTTCTGGTGTGCTGGGTCTTTTTAAATTCACAGATTATTATTCTGACACTACAGGCGTGCTGGCTTTTCTTCCCCCACTTTCTCCTTGAACTTTTCCTTTTCATTCTCTTTTTATTGGCATTCTGTGGGAATACGTTGCATCTGTCAGCACAGGCAACTGCTTAGAGTTCTCACACTCATCCCAAATTAATTAGTTGTTTTACTAGACCTTTTTACATGTTCATAAAACATATGTGATATTGAGATTACCTCCTAAAAATACATACTTTACAAGTTTCACTACTTCAGAGATCAACTTCCTCGCTCCATCTACCTTACAATCCAACAATATTAAATAACTAACTGAAAATTGTGTGGAGAACTCAACTGAAACCAAATGTTAATTTTCTGAAACGACTCCCTTCCCTATTCCTCCTTCCTATAGCTCTTGGCTTATAGAAAAAAAAAAAAAAAAAGGTAAATTTAGTTTTTCCCTAAAGAAAGGATGGAGAAAGAAATGTGTGCCAGAGTAATATATCACTTAAACAAAGTATTTCTACCATATCTATTCCAAAACAAAGATATAACTAGTGGTATACCTTAGAATCCATACCCAAGTTCACATGTCTATAGATAGATAAACCTACACTCAAATGCCTAGTCCAAATGTTGGACAGTCTGTTTTATTTCCTTATTTTTAATTTACATAGAAGTTAGTTAGCACATGGTGCAATAATGATTTCGGAAGTAGAATCCAGTGCTCATCCCAACAAATGTCTTCCTTAATGTCCCTTGCCCATTTACCCCACCCCCCCCATAATCCCTCCAGCAATCCTCAGCTTGTTCTCTATATTTAAGAGTCTCTTACATTTTGTCCCCCTCCCTGTTTTTATATTATTTTTGCTTCCCTTTCCTTATGTTCATCTGTTTTGTGACTTAAATTTAAATGTGGGAAAGTCTTAAAAACCAAATTGCCCAAAATGTCATTATATTTATCTAGATGTTACTAAACATGGGATTATTTTAACAAGGAAATAAATCAGAGGCAATGTACTTATGGTTGCCAATTAAGATAAAACACAATTTCTTGGGAAGAAATTTGCCTTTACTTACCTGTTAGGTCAGAGCCAACAACACTAATTATTCTGATGGCTCCAAATATTTTCCTCTATTTGGGTGGGGCCAATTGGTTAACAAGTAACTATGCCTAAATATAAGTTAGTGTATACATAAATCTCCTTATCTTTATTTTAGTATTAGATCATTATTTCTCTAGAATCATTATTTTCCTAGATCCTTGTATCTCTAGATCATCATTTCTAAAATTCTAGAAATAATTTTTAAAACATATGTACAATTTTTACTAATGCCAATCAGCAGGCTGCAATAATTTTTATGTGAAATCAATATTAAGAATATTTATTCTGGCAATCCCTATCAAAATCCCAACACCAGCATTCTTCACAGAGCTAGAACAAACAATCCTAAAATTTGTATGGAACCAGAAAAGACCCCAAATAGCCAAGGCAATCTTGAAAAAGAAAACCGAAGCTGGAGGCATCACCATCCCAGACTTCAAGATGTATTACAAAGCTATAATCATCAAGACAGTATGGTACTGGCAAACGAACAGACACTCAGATCAATGGAACAGAATAGAGAACCCAAAAAAGGACCCACAAATGTATGGCCAACTAATCTTTGACAAAGCAGGAAAGAATATCCAATGGAATAAAGACAGTCTCTTCAGCAAGTGATGCTGGGAAAACTGGACAGCGACATGCAGAAAAATGAACCTGGATCACTTTCTTACACCATACAACAAAATGAAACTCAAAATGGATGAAAGACCTAAATGTAAGACAGGAAGCCACCAAAATCCTTGAGGAGAAAGCAGGCAAAAACCTCTTTGACCTTGGCCATAGCAACTTCTTGCTTGACACATCTCCAAAGGCAAGGGAATTAAAAGCAAAAATGAACTACTGGAACCTCATCAAAATAAAAAGCGTCTGCACAGCAAATGAAACAATTATCAAAACTAAAAGGCAACTGACAGAATGGGAGAAGATATTTGCAAATGACATATCAGATAAAGGGTTAGTATCCAAAATCTATAAAGAACTTATCAAACTCAACACCCAAAAAACAAAATGCAGTGAAGAGATGGGCAAAAGACATGAATAGACACTTCTCCAAAGAAGACATTCACATGGTTGACACATGAAAAAATGCTCACATCACTCATCATCAGGGACATATAAATCAAAACCACAATGAGATACCACCTCACACCTGTCAGAATGGCTAACATTAACAACTCAGGCAACAACAGATGTTGGCAAGGATGCAGAGAAATCTCTTGCACTGCTGGTGGGAATGCAAACTGATGCAGCCACTCTGGAAAACAGTATGGAGGTTCCTCAAAAAATTTAAAATAGAACTACCCTACAACCCAGCAATTGCACTACTACATATTTACCCAAGGGATACAGGTATGCTGTTTTGAAGGGGCACATGCACCCCGATGTTTACAACAGCACTATTGACAACAGCCAAAGTATGGAAAGAGCCCAAATGTCCATCGACAGATGAATGGATAAAGAAGATATGGTGTGTGTATGAATGGATAAAGAAGATACGGTGTATACACAGGCACCCCATAAGAGACTCTTAAATATAGAGAACAGAGGGTTGTTGGAGGGGTTGTGGGAGGTGGGATGGGCTACTCCTGAAATCATTGTTGCACTATATGCTAACTTGGATATAAATTAAACAATAAATAAATAAATTTAAAAAAAGAGAGTATTTATTTTGGATGCCTGGGTGGCTCAGTCAGTTGAGCATCCGACTTCAGCTCAGGTCATGATCTCATGGTTTGTGGGTTCTAGCCCCACGTCAGGCTCTGTGCTGACAGCTCGGCACCTGGAGCCTGCTTCAGATTCTCTGTTTCCCTCTCTCTCTCTGCCCCTCCCCTGCTTACACTGTCTCTTTCTCTCAAAAATAAATAAACATTAAAGAAAAAAAATTTTTTTAAGAATATTTATTTATTCCTTGGGGCACCCAGGTGGCTCATTTTGGTAAATGTCCAACTTTGGCTCAGGTCATTATCTCATGGTTCGTGACTTGGAGCCCTGTATCGGGCTCTGCGCTGACAGTGCAGAGAGGGCCTGGGATTCCCTCTTCCCCTCTCTGCCCCTCCGCCACTTGGTCACGTGCTTGTTTGCGCTCTCTCTTTCAAAATAAATTAACTTAAAAAGTAATAATATTTATTCCTATCACAATCTATGTCCCCTTACCCTTTATCTCCATTCTAATGCTTCCTTCTTTATTCTGCCTAAAGGTCAGTGATTCAAATACAAATAAATACATTAGGGAACACGAAAGTAATGAATACATTCAAACTGAGGAATAGACAAATACTCAAATGAACATAAGCTCCTTCACAACTCTCAAAAAGAGAAAGGAGATTTTAAAAGGTTTCAATCTGCATTATTATTCAAAAGTTTTCAAAGAAAAGAAAGCTTTGACAAGAAATTCTTCTAAGAATATAAGTACAAAATATTAATTTGTCAGTTTCTAAATGAAGAGTCAATGCAAGGAAAACTAAGTTGCCACCTGTATGTGAAGTAAAAGAAAGCACTAAAAGTAAATTTCCAAGTACTGAGCATAGGATCACAATACCAAAATCAATCAAATTTTTTGTACTGTGTAGCTCTGAATACCTTAAAAAACTGTCGAATACATAACATAAAATTCTACTGTATTTCCTATTTTAATGGTCAGTCTTCTAAAAAGCACATTCTCAGAAGGCCCAAGTATAACAAAGTAGTTATCAATACTACTAATTTTTAGTAGGAAAATACTGGGATGAAATCAGAAAAAAAGGAAATATGGTACCACTTAAATTTGTTTCATAGCCTATCTTAAACTCATTCAAGGGGCGCCTGGGTGGCTCAGTCGGTTAAGCGGCCGACTTCAGCTCAGGTCATGATCTCGCGGTTTGTGAGTTCGAGCCCCGCGTCAGGCCCAGTGCTGACAGCTCGGAGCCTGGAGCCTGTTTCAGAATCTGTGTCTCCCTCTCTCTGACCCTCCCCCGTTCATGCTCTGTCTCTCTCTGTCTCAAAAATAAATAAACGTTTAAAAAAAAAAAATTTTAAACTCATTCAATATTAACATGAGTAAGAAGAGGAATAATGTTTCTTATCCATGTTACCAGACAACCAGTTCTAAGGTCTGATATCCTAAGGTCCACTTCAATCTTGAGTCTGTACGATCTAATCCAAACTGTTTAATCTCTCAGTCTTATCATCTGTAAGATGGAGTAACAACTGCACTATTTACCTATTTGGGTTATGAGGTTCAAATGAAATATATATGAAAGTACTTCACAAACTTTTAAATGCTTACACAAATGTTCATAGTATTAGAAGAGGATCATTAGAATATTATTACATCTACATCACCTTTCTATTAGGTGCTGTACACATAGCTAGCATTCAGAATAGCACTGATGTGAAGATGAATCAATGACAATAAGTTACATGACAAAGATCTATCACTTTCTTGAACCTCATTCAAATCCAAAATCCTTTTCGATGAAGAATCTGAAAACTTTTCAGGCAACACCAACCAAAGAAATTCTGTTTATTAGAACAACTTAAATACCATTTAAGAGAATTACATACCTTGACTGGTGGTGTAGAACATGGAGAAGGAGTCATCACACAGGTTTCTTGACTATTATAGGAAGGACTATCCGTCAGGTTCAGATAGAGCTCATCTTCATTGGTGAAATTTCCCTGACTGTCCACTCCTGGAGAAATGCAGATCACTATAGCACTAGTATTATCTGCTCGAAGCATACGCTGCCTCCAGCGGCCTAGTGCTCGATTCACAAGCATTTTGGCACAAGACTGTCCATGCTCACCCTATATTTAAAAGAACAAGAAGAAAGAAAGTTCACAACTCAGATTTAGTTGCCACTATATCTGTTATCAAATTTAAAGGTGTGTGTGGGTTTTTTTTTTAATGTTTATTTATTTTTGAGAGAGAGAGACAGAGCGTGAGTGGGGGAGGGTCAGACAGAGAGGGAGACACAGAATCCGAAGCAGGCTCCAGGCTCTGAGCTGTCAGCACAGAGCCCAACACGCGGCTCGAACTTACAAACTGTGAAATCATAACCTGAGCTGAAGTCGGCTGCTCAACCAACTGAGCCACCCAGGCGCCCCTGTTTTATCAAATTTAAAATGAGGTATTCATATGGCTTAAATTAAATCTCCAAAATTTCAAACATTATCCACAGTCCCCATAACTATGTTAAAATAGTATTGCTCTAAATTTTTTAAAGTAATAAAACAAGGCCTTATCCTGTGGTTAAATTTCACCTGTGTTTTTTTCTTTTTGGTAGCAAGAAACTTAGTCTTCACTGTAACTTTAATTAGGAAAAGCTATATAGAAGTTATCTAAAATGGGAAGTAAACATCAAATTATTACAGATAAACAATTCACAAATGAGATAATCAGGCATGGTAAAAAAAAAAAAAGAAACACAAACAAACAAACAAAAAACACGTAGTTCAAACTCATGTTGTTTAAAGGTCAACTGTACATAAAAATGATGCCACTGATATGAGGAAAAAAACAATACAGTAAGTGGCTATGGTATGGAGATCACCACATACAAACAGAAAGAATAAAAAAAAAACAAAACTCCAAATGATCTCATGTTATGCAAATAAATGTGGCTTGGAATAAAACTTTTAGTATCATACACAGATTCAATACATGTATTCAATAATTACTAAGTTTCAAAGAACAGAAATGAAAACGATTTTCTTCCACCATACACTCTTACTAGGTGATCTCATAAGTTGTCACAGCTTTACCTAACTCTTAATACTCAAATTTGTATTTGAGAGGCTTCTCTCTCAAATATTTCTGCCTAATGAAAATACCTATCTAGATAAACCACAAGCACCTCCAACTCAACATGCCTACATCTGAATTAATTATCACCCTTCTACCCCAGAATATATGTGTTTCTTCTTGATAACAGCTATCACCAGTCAAAAATTTGGGCATCACCACATTCTTCCTCCTTAAAAACCCAAATTCTATCAATTCTACCACTCATGTATTTCTTTTGTTATTGTGTATATATGGATTTGTTGTTTTTTACCACTGTTACCCTATATCAAGCTTGCAAAATTTCTCATTTGGAATATAACAGTAGCCTCCAAAAGGAAGCCTAATAGATCCATTGATAAAAATCAAATCAGGGGCACCTGGGCAGCTCAGTCAGTTAAGCATCCAAGTCTTGGTTTCTGCTCAGCTCATGATCTCATGGTTAGTGGGTTCCGGCTCTGTGTCAGGCTCTGTGCTATCAGCACGAAGCCTGCTTGGGATTCTCTCTCTCTCCCTCTCTCTCTCTCTCTGCCCCTCGTGTTCTCTTTCTCTCTCTCAAAATAAATAAACTTTAAAAAAATAAAATAAAAAATTAATGAGGTTTCATAGGCCCTTAAGTCTTAAGGCTATTCATAAAAGTCTATGGTTGTGTGTTTTGTTATCTAGTTTCATTTATTTATATCCTGTCTCCTTCTCCTGATGAGTTGCAAAGTCTGTTTTACTAATTCTAGAGCCAGGCAAATGCAAAAATCTACACAAAGTGAACATCCTTAGTTCATATTCAAGACTCCTGACCAACGTACTAAAACAATGTACAGGTCATAATATCAAATTATTGAGTCACTTCTCACCATCAAGTATTTTTTCTCCTCTTGGTCCTGGCACATTGAGATGGCATCCTGCGGTGGGATCATATTCCAAAGTCCATCACTCCCCAAGATAATGTACTTGTGCTTTTGGGGGTCAAGCGTGTGGACACTTGTGTCTGGTTCAGGTGATACCACAAACTCACCACTGAAGAAATCATAGCTCCACAAATCACCTGGGGGTGGGGGGCAGAAGTAAGAAGCAAGAAGTATTATTTCCAAGCTAGTAATATCATGTCAACAGATTAAAGGAGAAAATCTACATATTCATCTCAACAGATGTAGAAAAGTATTTGATAACATTCAAAGTCTACACATGATTTAAAACACACACACACACACACACACACACACACACACACACACACACACACACAAACTTCTTAAGCAAACTAGAAATAAAAGACAACTCCCTTAACATGATAAAAGTTCTTTTCTAACACTATACTGAAGGTCCCTCCCTGCATAGTAAGTTTAAACAATTAAAATCAGATATATAAACTGGAAAGGAGAAAATAAACTACCATTTGTTTCAGATAATTTTATTTCTACATGGGAAATCAAAACCAAATCAGATCAATTATCAGAAAAGGAACATTTAGAAAGGTTGTTAAATACAAACCCAGTTTATAAAAGTGAACTGTATTTCTAGACAATAGTAAGAAATAGTAAATATAAATTTAAACAATGTATTTATAACAGTTAACCAAATGTAAATATCTGGAAATAAATTTAACAAAAGTTGTGCAAGTCTTTTATGGACAAAATTATACAATTAGATTACAAAACATTAAAAAGACTATCTAAATAAATGGAGAAATAAACTATTTCAAAGGAAGACTTAATACTTTAAAGATGTTAATTCTCCCAAAAATAGCTTTTAAAGTCAATGTAATTCCAAGCAAAACCCCTAAAGAATTTTTGTAGAATGACAAGCTTATTTTTAAAATGTACAGGGAAGAACAAGGGCCAAGATTAACCAAGACAAGTGTGAAGAAAAGATAAAAGACAGAACTTGCTCAACAACGGGAGTCTTAGTTGCTATCTGAAAACCCCTGCTCACCCGCAGGGTCAAGAAAGGATCTAGTCAAAACTTACAGAATAAATGTCAGTCACTTGGAAGAAAATTCTAGAAATAAAAATGAGCATTTTTATGTTCTTAAACTACCACATGACCAGTCTTTGGAGATTAATAGTTCACCCTTTCAGTGAGTGAGGAAAAGAAGTCCTCATACAGTTACCCTCCTTCTTGATTAGCTCTCTGTGAAACAATACCTAAACTCCTACCTTTCAGACGTATTAGTACAAACCTCAAAATGTGCAACTTAAGAACTTTTAGTTGACTCAGGCCATCAAAAAGATTTTTACAAGTGAGATAGAAAAAACATTTTACAGAAACCATTTATTCTTCTGTGATACATAATACAAAATAAGTGGAACAATGTAACTTTTCTTTTGCTCCCCAAAACTGGGGGAAGAGTAGAAAGAAAGGAGAAAACATTAATCTCTGACTCTTTTGTTTATAGTGAAATGTACTCTGAGTAAAGACCTAAATTAAAAGCAAAAGGTTTTCAGACAAGAAGGTGGTTTTTGCACTTTCACCATGTCTGACTTCTTTTTAAAAAAGAGGAAGCTCCTGGTCCTTTCTCTTCCTTACTTAAGCTTCCCTATTACCACCCAGCAGAAGTATCGGCCAATTCAAACGTGCTCAGAGTCTAACGAAAAAATAATTCATATCAATTACTCCACTCTAAAAGAGCAAAATTCATTGCTAAACCAGCCCCTTGAAAGAGAAAGGGGCAATTCAGTCTTCAGAGTAGCAACAGAGTGCACATACGGGCACCTGACTGGCTCAGTTGGTAGAGCATGCAACTCCTGAGCTTGGGGTTGTGGGTTTAAGCCCCATGCTGGGTTTAGAGATTACCTAAAAATAAAATCTTTAAAAACAAACAAACAAAAAGAACACACGGGACCGCTAAAAGCTAATTATAATCCAGGTCGACTCACAAAGACACATTTAGTTCTTTATGTTAGCAAAACAAAGGTCTTTGGCTGATGAAACTTTTAAAATGAGCATGGAAACAGTTCAGATAAATATTAATATAGCAAGTACAGAATTCATAAGTGATGCTAAAAGCTTTCAAAAACAGTTTTTCCTCATTATTTGGAATTACTATTGCCATTCCAAGTAAGAACATATGTCTAAATTTAAAATCTATGTAAAAAAAGAAATTCCAATTTTCAATATAATGCAGATTACATGACCTTTAAAAAGGGCCACAATTTCTCATGTATAAACTAGTATTAATATCTTTATAAATTTAAAAATATTTTTAAATAAGTAATTTTTTTCACTTAAGAGGCACAGTGTGTCAGTTTCTCCCATCATTGGCAATGCCAACCTGAACCATTTGGTTCAAATGCTATCAACCACCACTGTACAGGTACCCTTTTCATTTTGTAATTGATATGTAATCCAAAGGGTGATAGCTTTGAGTCTGTGTGAAATATCCTCTTGTCCACCAAAATATGTCATGTTTTAGCATTCATTAATGATTCTTAGCCCCCTATGTTTAACTGTATGTTTAACTTTAACTCTCTATAATTAACTGTTACTATGATGGTTGTAAACTGATGACAGAATAAGAACATTCTAAATTACACTTTTTGTTGTGTTTTCTAAAGAAGAGTTTCCCATTCTCCTCTACTTGTTTATAATCTTTTTAGTATCTTCATAAACTTATGGATTCTTTTTCCTTCAATATGCTATAAATTACTCCTGTCATTATTTGCTTTGATGCTCAAGTTGCTTTAAATTTGCCAGTAAAAGTCCTTGGAGTGTTAATTTTTTAACAAACTCATTACGTGAGTTGTATTCATAGCCAGGTTTAAGAATATATGATATAGCCACAGTTCCTTATGTTACCAATTCAGAGAATTTACATGGCTTTACCTGAGATCAAATGAATGAGGATTAGAATTGGCCCTTGAACTAATTGTTTCTATCACTGACCTACAGTTTGTACACCAAAATAGGATCACAGAGTATCATTCCTGTACATTCTAAAGGGAGGGACCTTGGGCGCTGGGGCAGATGTAGTTGGTTGCCTGCTTGTTGGCTGTTTCCTTTTTGTCTTCAGTAGAGGCACTGGAGGGACCCCAGAGGAGAAAGAGGTCTTCCTTCTGGTTTCAGTATGTTTTCTGCTTTCTTCTGTGGCACATGGCAGCCCAGTGCACAGGACACAGTGGTCCTCACCCCTACTGAATTTCAACATTCCTCTCCCTACCCTCTTTGGGTGGCTTCCCATGGAGAGCTCCCAAACAACTTTTGCCTCACTTAATCCATTCTTAAAACTGCAACCCAAATCATCCTTTTAAAACTCAAATTTAACATGGTGGTATGGGGCGCCTGGGTGGCTCAATCAGTTAAGTGTTCCACTTTGTCTTAGGTTATGATCTCACAGTTCATGGGTTCAAACCCCGCATCAGGCTCTGTGCTGACAACTCAGACCCTGGAGCCTGCTTCAGATTCTATGTCTCCCTCCGTCTCTCTCTCTGCCCCTCCTCCACTAGTGCTCTCTCTCTTTCAAAAATAAATAAATGTTAAAAGAAAAAGTTAAAAAAGAAAAAGATGGATGGTGGTGATGGTTGCACAACATTGTAAATGTACTTAACACTACCATTGAATGGCACACTTAAAATGGTTAAGATGGGGGGCACCTGGGTGGCTCAGTCAGTTAAGTGGTTGACTCTTGATTTGGTCTCAGGTCATGATCTCACAGGTTCATAGGATCAAGCCCCCCATTGGGCTCTGCACTGACAGCACAGAGTCTGCTTGGGATTCTCTTCCTCAAGATAAACAAACATATATTAAAAACAATAATGATAAAATAAAATGGTTAAGATGGCAAAACTGTATATGTATTTGCCATAATTGAAAACACACGCACAAATCGAGTTGTTTCCCACTTCTACTCTGCAACAGTTTATTCCTATTCTTAAGACACAACTCTTAACCACAGTCTAAAAACATGAAATATTTTCTCATTTTATCTGTGCCTCTTATTCCTGTATCAATCTCTGTTCTAGCTACACTGTCCTTTGTCAGAGCTCCTTATATTCACCAGCCTTCCTCCCATCACAGAGTTGTTCGTAAATGCAGTTCCTATGCCTAGAACACACATTCTTCCACTTTTAACATCAAGTAATTGTTCAGACTTAAATATCTCTTGCTTCTCCAGCTAGTAAAATACCATTTTATTTTATTTAAATGTTTTATTTATTTTTGAGAGAGAGTGCACGTGTGCAAGCGGAGGAGAGAGTGAAGGGGGGGGAGGGGACAGAGGACCTCAAGTGGGCTCTGCGCTGACAGCAGTGAGCCTCATGATCAACCGTGAGATCACAACCTGAGCCAACGTCAGATGCTCAACCAACTGAGCCACCTAGGTGCCCCTAAAATACCCTTATTTTAAGTTCTTATTAACATGCATACAAATATTTAGAGATGTAATTTTTCAGTCCTTTTTGTGATCTGATGAATGCCTCTCCCCTTCTCTAAACTGTAAGATTCCATGAGGACAAAGGCCAACCACATGCTTGACACATACTGTAATCAGTATCTGTTCAATGAATAAATGATTTGCAAGATTCACATGCAATTCCATGAGGCAGCCACAAGAAGGCACCTTTGTCACATCTGTACTCAAGTAACTATAATCCTAATGAGTGCCTAAAAACGATACCAATTTCTGCTAAGCAAACTTCCCTCTTTCCCAAAACGCTAGAAGAAAAATGGCCACATACCATAAGAATGGTGCTAAATACGATAATTTAATTTACTATGAGCCAATAAGTATTATCATGCAACACGTTAAACTATTAATTTTTTTAATTAAAAAAAATTTAGCAGTAGTGGGGAGAGACAGAAAGAGTACATGCATGCACCTATGTGCAGGGGAGGGACGGAGGGAGAGAGAGAATCTTAAGCGGGGTCCACGCTCAGCTCGGAACAAGACACAGGACTCAATCTCATAACCATTAGATCATGATCTGAGCTGAAACTAACAGTGGGACACTTAGCCAACTGAGCCACTCAGGTGTACCCCATCAACAGTATTTAAAATACTCCTATCTATGCCACTGACTCCCAAATTGCTATCTCCAGCCTGGACCTCAC